AGGAGGAGGGGAAAAAGGGGGTAAGGGATGGGGGGGAGGGGTGAGGACATGGGATAAAGTGGGGAAAGAAATGAGATAAAATGGGGGAGGGGGAGAAGTGCAAAAAAGGGGGGGGGCAGAGAGGAAGTTGATGTAGCCATGTCCCGAACTGGAGATAAAGATGCTGTTCACTTATTGGCATCCTACAGTCAAACCAGGAATGGTGTATATCCAGAGGCTTTGGCCGATATACATCAGTCTTAGGTGAGTTTCACTTTTGAACCTTCGTTTTTTCATGTATAAAATAGAACCATCCTGTTTTAACCAAATAGCTGTTTAAATTACTGCAATATTGACATTTTTATTTACATTGCAACATTAATTTTTGTATACAAAACATTATTTTCCCGTTTATAGAACGGGTACGCAGTCAAGTATAATGCCTAAATGTATATTTCGAGAAAAAAGAATGATGCTTGAGGATAAGAAATAATCAGGAAAAGACAAATGCAGATTGATTTTTGTGACACCTGAACAGACATAACAGCCTTGAACATCTAGCTCCCACTGGCAAAATTGAAGGCTAACGAGGCAGGGCTAGGCCCAGAGCAACCTACTTGGCGGGGTAATGTAGCTTTTTTTTTTAAGCGTCTGAGCAAAGAACTGAATGGGGAATCATGATCGCCGATGTCTGTCGCAGATCTGGCACTTGATGATGATGTAAGAAAATCAAAATGGGAATACTTTGTGAGAAAACGAAATGCGAGTATTTTGTGAAAAAAAACACGAAATGGATTATTTTGTGGTGAGAAAACCGAAATGGAATATTTTGTGGTGAGAAAACCGAAATGGAATAGATCTAATTTGCGAGTAAACAAAGTGGGAATCTTTGTGAGAAAATGAAATAAGAACTGTAGTATCTTTCCATTAATTGGTGTTTCTTAGTTCAAATATGTGAATGTGAGAATTCTTTATATTGCACGCTGTCAAGCGTGTGCTCGCTCGTTCGTTCACATTTATTATGCACCCACGAACACCCCC